GTCGCTGTGCTGCTCGTCCCCGCCTGTTCCTGCTGCTGTTCGTCCTCCTGGTCGCTGTGCTGTTCGTCCTCCTGCTCTCCCCCGCTGTGGCGTCGGCGCTGATCATCGTCGCCGCCGCCGTGTGTTTCAGTTCGGCGGGTGCCCCCCCGCGATTCGCCCCAGCAACGAAACCATCTTTCTTCGGAGGTGGATAGACCTCCTACCCTGACACGTCGATTAGTGATTTGGCCGTTTTCGGTTCGCGAGAGGGCGTTGCGGCCGTGATTCTTGCGGGTCCAGGTCCGTCGGTTTCGGCCCCAGGCCCTCTTCACTAAGGGGAGGTTTACTCAAGGGAGGTTTGTCCACCGCCGATTTCTCATCACACGCCCCTCACGGTTTTTTCTTAATCACAAGTTGACATTGCGCCCTCTGTGTCTCTTTCTCCCCCGCCTCAATCGCCCAGTTGGCCCATGGCGCGGTCGATCCAAGGGGATCCCGCTGTTGAGGGCCCCACCGCGCGTGACCGTCGGTGCTGTTCGCTTGATTTTCTCTTCGTCGTCGCTGCGCGCGAGGCCGCGACCTCCAAAAAGTGTGTATGTGTATATATGTGTGTGTGCGCGTGTGTGTTCGTTAATCTTCGGCTTGTTTTTCTTCCGTGGTTGTCCCGGTGGAAGTGCATATCGACGTGCATTCCAAGCTGGAGCCCCCGAGCTGGTACAAGCGTCGATGGGGGAGCTGTGTTCGGCGCGTAGAGTAACTTAGGTACGCACTTACATATAGTTCCACGCCTGCATGCGCATAGTAACAGCTATACAGGCATGATGTGCATGTGAATGTAGCTATGCATCGTACTATACGAGTGGGTGTCTGTATGTAGATGTACATCACAGGGTTATCCGCCTGAGGTTTCTTGAATGTCAATGGGGACCCTTTTGGACTTTTGTCACGTCTTGCAGGGGGGGTGAGACTCTTTGGGCCTCTCTGGGGCTTTTTGTGGGGGCATGTGGGGGGGCATGCTCGGACCTCTCTTGGGCCTCTTAAGGGCATGCTGGCGGCCTCTGGGGCCATCTTGGGACGTAGGGCTCGACATGTAAGTCCGAGGTCCCATCGTGGGCCCCTATGGGGCCCCCTTGGGGCCGTTTTGGTCCATCTTGGAGGCGTTTTTGGGCCGTCCTGGCGCCGTCTTGGGCCGTTGCGGGGCCCGCCTGGGGGCTCTGGGGCCGTCCTGTGGCGATCTTGGGGACCTGTTGGGCCGTCTTCTGCCGCCCTGGAGCGTTCAGAGCCCGAGATGCCGAGAACGCTAACATCACTCAGAGTCCCGCAGGCAACTGCTTATGTCTGCCTCTTGGGGCCTTTGTGACGAGCCTTTTTTGTCGGCAGTGGGCCGTCTTCGTGCCACTTTTGGGGATCTCTTGGAGAAGCTTGGTGCCGTCCTGGCCGTCTTTGGGCCCATCAGCCCCCCGGAAGAGTAACGCGACAACAGGCGGGAACACGTGCAAAGCCTTCAGAGCGCCTGGAACTCCGGGTCGTGGGCTCCTTCTCACGCGGCATTCATCCGAATAATCATCGCAGGGGGCTAAAGCTCGAATGGGCTTCAGCATTCTGTACTTCGTGCCTCTGGGCACGGTCGCGGATATCTACGCGCATTTGCTTGCCAGCGGCAATTTGACTGCAAGAGGCGGTCGACATCGCCGAGGGACGCATCGGAGTCGACTGGGCACAAGGCAGGCCAGCCACAATTGGGGGAGCTGTGGTCCTTACCCCCCCTGAGGGACCCATCGATTTCGACACCCCTCTCGAGATATCGCCGAGGCGATGGCCCCTAGGGGGGTAAGGACCACAGCTCCCCCAGTTATGGCTGGTCGGCAAGGAAAGAAGGGGCGTAGGGGGAGGACGTCGCGGGCGGCGGAGCATTCCTAGACCGTGAATCTGTTTTTGCGTGGGTGCCAGGGCACAAGTTTACCTCATCAGCGCGTACACGATGCATATACATAGTTGTAGATGTGCCGGGTTCGGCCCGCTTATTTACTACGACTTCTGAAGCTGTGCCTTTCCGTGCCGCCTCTCTGTCAGCACGACAGATTATTCCGGGTACGAGTGACATAGTTGCAGATGTGCGCGCATGGCTGGGCATCTGCTTGTCGATGTTGTGCGGGGTCTGCTAGCTCGACGGCAAGCAGACGCGCGCAATCCCAGGGCGCCGATCGATGTCTCGGCACACGCGCGGATGTAAGCGTGTAAAGTAGACACATATGTATGCATCTATGGTATATGTACACATGTACATGGATACATACATTCGAAAGAGCGTGTTCTACCGCTGCTGGCGGAAAACCGGGGGTGGGGGACACTACCGGTTCGAACCCCTCCCCCTCCTCCCCCCCCCCCTCCGGAAAACCTGGGGGGGTCACTACCGGTTCAACCCCCCCCCCCACTTCATCGTGAAAAGGGGGGGGTCACTGCCGGTTCGACCCCCCCCCCCCTCGAACTCGAAAGCCGGGGGGGATCACTACCGGCCGGTTCGAACCCCCCCCGCCCCCCTCGAAAACCGAGGGGGGGTGCGGACAGTGGTGGGGACGGTGGTGGTGGGGACAGTGGCGAGGGGACAGCGGGACAGTGGTGGGGACAGTGGGACAGTGGTGGGGACGGTAGTGGTGGGGACAATGGTGAGGACAATGGTGGGAACAGTGGGGACAGTGGGACAGTGGTGGGGACGGTGGTGGTGGGGACAGTGGTGTGGGGACAGTGGGGATGTGGTGGAAACAGTAGGACAGTGGAGGGTACAGTGGTGGTGGGGACAGTGGTGAAGGCGGTGGCGAGGACGGCGGTGGGACACTGGGACAGAGGTACAGTGGGGACAGTGGTGGGGACAGTGGGGACAGTGGTGGGAACAGAGGGACAGCTCAGTGGGACAGCGGAGGAGTCAGTGGGACAGTGGGGACAGTGGGGATAGTCGGGCAGTGGTTGGGGCCGTGGAGAAAGTTGGGAGAGTGGAGCCGTGGTGGGAACAGTGGTGGGGACAGTGGGGACAGTGCGACAGTGGTGGTGGCACTGGTGGGGACAGTAGGGGCGGTGGTGGAACCAGTGGGGACAGTGGTGGTGAGGACAGTGGTGCTGGGAACAACAGTGGGGGATGTGGTGAGGACGGTGGTAGGGACTGGGAGTCGTTTGCTGGCGGTGAGAGGGGGGGGGTGGGGAGGGGTTCGAACCGGTAGTGACCCCCCCTCCGGTTTTCGAGGGGGGGGGGGTTCGAACCGGTAGTGACCCCCCCCGGTTTTCGAGGGGGAGGGGGGGGGGAGGGGTTAGGGGAGGGGGAGGGGTAGGGGAGGGGGAGGGTTTCCCGGGGAGGGGGGGGGGGGGTCCAGCAGGGGGGGGGGGATTTTAGGACGGGGGGGGGGAAACCCCGGGCTCCGGAGGAAAAGGGCGGCAATTTTCCACAGTAAAGCGGCGGTGGATCACGCTCTCTCATACATTCACATATATACATATAGTACGAAGCATTTTTATTTATTTATTATTATGATTGTTATTAGTATTGTTATTATTATTATTAGTATTATTATTATTATTATTATTATTATTATTATTATTATTATTATATATATATGTACCCGTATATCTGCACGTTGCGTGCATTCCGATTGAATACATATTGGCCCCGTTCCCGGCGTGATGGAAGCCAACGCTTTACCATCCAACATTTCGCAATCGCCTTGGCTGCAACGTTCATGGCCTTGTTCGGTTGACTCCTTTCTATTTTTGCCGCTTGGCCTCTCCTGCATCCTTTTCTTGCCAGTTGGCGATCTGGGTGTGACGTGTTTTCTTTGTCGTTGTATCTCGTTCGTCACCGCGATACGGGCCGCGCGTCGTTTCAATCGCTCCCTGATTTCATGTCTAGTGGTCATCGCAGGTCAGCGTGTTGCCGGTCCTTGCCACCTGCTCTTCTACCATTAGCATTGACATCCGCGGGTGGTAAAGTGGGGGGGCGAGGACGAGCGGAACGATCCTGTAGCATTCGTGCCATTGGGGAGTCTTCACAGCATTCCTGTTCCCCTTGCTCTCTCGGCATCCTGCCCCTGGCCATTTTGCCCCCCCGCGCCACCCGCGGAGGCTCCCTGCTGGCCGTGTACTGGGAGTTCGGGGAGCAGGGGGCCGAGGTGCGCGACGGGGGCAGCAGCAGGGCGCGGCGCGGGGGCGGGGAGGCCGGCTGGCATTCCGTCGGTCTCCCAGGAAGGTCGCGCGAACTCATCGGCAGGCTGACCCGTTGGGCAGTACGCCGCGCTGCAACGCCTCGGGGCCCTCGACGTGCGCAGACGTGCCCTGGCCCCTTCTCGTCCCCCTCCTGGGTGTCCGCGCTCACGCGGGGCGGCGGCTGGGGACGGCGCTTGTCCTCCGTTCGCCTGCCAACATCAGGAGGGAAAGAAACACACAGACACAATGAATCGTCGATTCCCTGGAACATATAGGAAAACATGGGAAGTGGGGGGGAAGACAAAAACCCAGAACATATGGGAAGATATGGGGAATCCTCTATTTATTTGTGTGTATTTATTTGTGTGTCCCAGGGCCCCTTCACAATCGGCGTCTCGGCGATTTTTCGTGGAGCGTATTCATTCTTGTTCGTGCCGCAGCAGAGGCAGCACGACGACAACTGTGAGCAACGCGAAGACACCACAACGACAGCGAGCAACCCTTTTCCGCTCGAGCCCTGCCGGACAACATTACAGAAGTGTGGCGACAGGGGTAATGCACAGACAGGGGGTGCTTCACAACGTCGGTCTTCCAAATGACACTTCGGGCTGCACTGCGATTTCGCCTTCCATTCACGGCATGACGTGCGATTGAGCCTTCGGATACTTCACCTGCGCGTTGTTGCCGTTTGCCAGTGATTCTGATACGGGGGGGGCATCTGTGCGAGCCGAGAGTTCGAATGAGTCCGATCTTGCATCACTGACATGGGGTGCATGGGGTGCTGGTTGCTTGTCAGGCAGTTTCGCGATGCGTGGTATTCTCAGTCAGATATCGGTGTCGGGCTTCTCGCCGTCCTGATCATCACCACCCACCAAACCACCCCTACCCAACCCGAAGGCTTCCATTTGCCCTCCATTTCCAGTGTGGGGGGGTCGGGGAACGTGGAGCAAACACGTGGAACCCGTACCCCCCCACCCGAAAATCGGGTCAGATTCGGGTCTTCGGGAGGGGTCGGGGTTTGGTAGGTAGTCAGACGTCGGTGTCGAACTTCTCGCCGTCCTGATCATGAGGGACCATCGGGTGTGTCGGGCCGGACGAAAGGGGGGGATTGGGAAAGGGGGGGGGTGCGAAATTTGCCGCATGCAGCTGGTTTCGGCCTCGCCGAGGGGCCCACTCCTCGATACATGGCCGCCTCCGGCGCCGGGAGGCGCCGGGAGAATCAGCTGCGCGAGCTGATTCTCAAACCCACCCTTTTGCTATCCCCCCCTTTCGCCCGACCCGAATCTAGGAGGCGACGAGGAGGAGGAGGAGGACGAGGAGGAGGAGGAGGAGGAGGAGGAGGAGGAGGAGGAGGAGGAGGGAGGAGGGAGGAGGGGGAGGGAGGAGGGAGGAGGAGGAGGGAGGGGGAGGAGGAGGGACCCTCATGATGGGAGGGCACCCGGGCGCTGCATGGAATGCGCGCGCGGTCTGAGCTCTCGAGCCGGGCGCGCGCGTCGCCCAGGGCGGCGGGGGTGCAGCGCCGCTCGGCGGCGAGCCGAGGGAGGAATCACCTGCCTCGAACGTATCCCTATCCCTAAGATTGACGCGCTAAAAGGAGATGACAATCTTAGGGATACACCCCCAGACATTGAGGGAATCCCTAAGATCGCCATCGTGATGAGGCGATGCCCAACATAGGGATAGGGATCTGTTCCAGGCTGGTCAAGGAAGTGGGAAGGGGCAGGCCTTCGCAGGAGGCTGCGGGGCTCGGGCTCGGCATACATACTCAGGAGGGGAAAAAGCACGCAGGCACGATGAAGCGTCGATTCCTTAGACAATATGGGAAAGTATGGGAGGTTGGGGGGGGCGAAAACCCAGAAAGTATGGTAAAGTACAGGGGAGCCCTGGGATTTGTGTGTAGTCATTTGTGCGTCCCTGGGCCCCCTCAGGTACGTTTCCCTACCTTCAGGGAAGCCCTCTGTGGCTTCGGAAGAGCATCGAAAAGCCTCCTGAGCCCTCCGAGAAGGCCCGCCCGTTCTGGCTTCCCCCCTGGACGCGCCGCCGATGTGCCGCTGCTCTGACAAGCTGCTCCCCTTCCTTTGCATTGCTCGTCCTGGCTGTCCAGCACGAGCGCTTCTGCTGTCTGATCTGGGATGCTGGATCAGGGCGCAGCACGGTTGCGGGGATGCCAGCGAGTCGCAGGTGCGCACATACCCGATGCACTACTTGCCGTACAAGCTCATGCACATCCCGCTGCCTCCTTTCTTGCTCTCTCGCAGTGGCCTGGACCAGTTTGGCAGTGGCAAGAGTTAGTTAGGTCGGGCATGTCCTCCCACAGGCGGATTTTGGACGGAAAATATCAGGGTAGAAAGATCATCCCCAGACTAGTTTTTGACTGATGCGAAGGTCTTACGGCCAGTGCCGCCGACCCTGAAGACGACGACGATGAAAACGAGTGTGAGGAGGAGCAGGAGGAGGAGGAGGAGGAGGAGGAGGAGGAGGAGGAGGAGGAGGACATGAGGAGGGAGGAGGAGGAAGGAGGAGGAGGAGGAGGAGGAGGAGGCCCCCGGGGCCCCAGACTATTGTTTGATTGTTTGACTATTTACCTAACAGCTCTTGCTGATAGGTTTCTAGTGGTCTCAAAAGAGAGCATCATGACTCCTCAGGGGGGTCTGGGCGGGACCCGGACAGGCTGCCGCCGCGGCTGCCGCCGAAGCCGAAATCGCTTGGGACATCCTCGCAAAATCGCTCTTGGTGCTCCCAGAACTCCATTCCCGGGCCACATTTTGGATGCCCGGAGCCAACTGTAGGCCACTTCGTGCTCTTCGACTTCCCAGAACTCCATTCCCGGGCCACATTTTGGATGCCCGGAGCCAACTGTAGGCCACTTCGTGCTCTTCGATTTCCCAGAACTCCATTCCCGGGCCACATTTTGGATGCCCGGAGCCAACTGTAGGCCACTTCGTGCTCTTCAAGTTCCCAGAACTCCATTCCTGGGCATGATTTTGAATGCCCGGAGCCAACTGTAGGCCACTTCGTGTTCTTCTAGTTCCCAGAGCTCCATTCCTGGGCCACATTTTGAATGCTGAGGCAGGCTGATGCTGCGGCCAAGGCAGGCTGAGGCTGAGGCAGGCTGAGGCTGAGGCCGAGGCTGAAGGCAGACTGAGGCTGAGGCTGAAGCAGACTGAGGCTGAGGCTGAGGCAGGCTGAGGCTGAGGCTGAAGCAGGCTGATGCTGAGGCAGGCTGAGGCTGAGGCTGAGGCTGATGCAGGCTGAGGCTGAGGCAGGCTGAGGCTGAGGCCGAGGCTGAAGGCAGACTGAGGCTGAGGCTGAAGCAGGCTGAGGCTGAGGCTGAGGCAGGCTGAGGCTGAGGCAGGCTGAGGCTGAGGCTGAGGCAGGCTGAGGCTGAGGCTGTGACTGCGACTGCCGTTGCCGCTGCGACTGTCATCGCGAATGCGACTACGACTGCGAGAACAGCAGAATTCTACAACTGGATTTTCATCTGAATCTTAAGGGGAATGCTTTCAGATATGCTTCTACACATCGCTGTTAGGTTGCTTTGCCGGGATAATTTTGACCATCCCTCCTGTTAGAGGGACGTGCCCGACTTGAGGCCAGAGCGCAGAGCTCGGAGCCAGTGGCTGGGTCTCGGCATCGCTTGGACGCGTGCATGTTTTCTCGTCGGGGGCCATCGAGGAATCGAAGAGCCCCCTCCTCCTCCTGCTCCTCCTGCTCCTCCTCCTCCTCCTCCTCCCTCCTCCTCCTCCTCCTCCTCCTCCTCCTCCTCCTCCCCCTCCCCCTCCTCCTCCTCCTCCTCCTCCTCCTCCTCCTTTTCCTCCTCCCCCTCCTATCACGAACGTCGACCTGGATCATCTCCTGCGAAACAGAAAGACAAGGGCGCCCTCGAGGGCGCGAAGTTATTCGCGCTTCGCGGTTCGGCTCCGATTCCTCCTCGTCCTCCTTTTCTCCCCCGGGAGGCGGCGCGAGAGCGCGAAGTTATTCGCACTTCGCGCTTCGCGCAGCGCTAAGCGCGAAGTTGGGAGCCCTTGGAAAGAGCACGCACGACACCGACAAATCTGCATGGGAAGTGGACGACCGAGCAGTGGCAGGGTTTGTCGGCGAGGGCCATCAAGGAGCCTCCTGGGTCATCCTGCAAAGAGCAAGTCTGGACCCCCGACGTTTGAACTTTTTCACAGCGTAGACCCCCAGAGGTCTCGACCCTTTACCTGAAGCCAGTTTTTTATCCTGAGTCGTTTTTTGACGGTCCCGAGGCCTGGCGAGGGCCCCCAGCGGTCTAACATAGCGGAAAACCTCCCGTCGCGATTTTTTCACAACGCGAGGGGCTCTGGAGAACATGCACGACACCGGAAAAAGGCACGGGGAGTTGGACGTCCGGGCGGTGGCAGGGGGCCAGGGGGCGTCGAGGAGGAGGGGGAGGAGGAGGAGGAAAAGGGGGAGGAGGAGGAGGAGGAGGAGCAGGAGGAGGAGGAGCAGGAGGAGGAGGAGGATCTCCAAGAGGCGACGGGGCGGCCCCCCCGCCTGCCGTGCGCCGTGCCCAGCAGTTGCCGCTCTTTCGGTCCGTCGTCCGTCTTGGCCCGACGTCCTCTCGGAGCCACGCAGCGCTCGGCATTTTCCACGGCTCTTGATACCCAGAGCTCCTCGCGTTCTGAAATCATCGACAGATGATTTTTCAATATTTTAAGCTTTTGGGGGCCCTCGCCAGGCCTCGGGACCGTCAAAAAACGACTCAGGATGAAATATCGGCCTCAGGGACAGGGTCGAGACCTCTGGGGGTCGACGTTGTGACAAATTTCAAGACGTCGGGAGTCCGGGTATGTGTTTATTATCTATATATAATATTCACATATGTTCAATTTATATTCTATATTCTATTACATTATAGTAGGTTGCGCTATATAATTCTATAGTACATTATAGTATAGTATATCATATTATGTTAAATTATATTCGATGAGATTATAGTGCAGTATATTTGGTTATGCTATACAATAGTGTATTACAATGTATAATAACGTATCATATTATATGAGTTTATACTAGATGACGTTATATTATATTCTGTTTCATTTTACGACATGCGAATATATGATATGGTATGATATGCTATGACATGCTATGATATGGCATGACATGATATATTGTTATGGTATGATGTGGTATGATACTATATACTATCATATTATAGTATAGTGTCTTATATTTTAATGCTTCACCTTACACTATACCATAGTATGCCATACTGTACTATACTATATTGTATTATATGGCATTCTATGATATGAGATAGCATGATATGATATGATATGGTATTATAATATAGTATACTATTTGTTATGCTGTCATGTGGTATTGCATCACATTATATTGAATTATATGATTTTGTATTATATCATATTATATTGTATATACTCCCCCCCCGGGGACACCAGAACACGCGTGACTTTTCGCCGCCATACTTCCGAGGGCAGGTGAAAACAGGTGAGTTTCGTGCTCGTGGCACCTCCTTGGAGCCACGTACTTCTCGGCATTTTCCACGCCGCTGGAGCACGCCGTCGCGACGGCCGAGCATCAGGGCATCGATGAGTTTCCCTGCCAGCAAGCTTGCCTCTCAGGGGAATCGGTTGCCTCTTTCAGTCCGTCGTCTTTCGCTGTCTGACATCCTCTTGGATCCACTCACTGCTCGGCATCTACCACGGCGCTGGGTAACGCCGTCGCGACGGCCGCGCATCAGTGCAACGGATAAGCTTCCCCTACCAGTAAGCCTGTCTTCCCCAGGCGCTGCTTGCATGTGTCATCACTGCGTGACTCCTGCCTGGGCGCCGTCCAGTATTGCCCGCATATTGGCTACTATTTCATCATCCGCCCCTCTCGTTCATTGTCAGTTTTTCCCGTCAGGCAGAGCGACGCCAGCGTGGTGTTCGACTGAGTTGAATGCCTTGGCGTATTATTACCCTGTACCATTTTGCTTTTCTACTCTCTTGTTAAATCCACATACAGTCTTTCTTGCCCTTACAATTGTTGCCCTGTCCATGTGAACCACAGCTGCTGTCGTCGCTGCCACTGTTTCCACGTCTGCTTCCCCATCTCTCCGACTCTCTTTCCATGCAGTGCATGCCGCCTTCCTATAGCTTTCCAGATTTAGGACCCCCCATGTTCGATCACGCGATTGCAGCAACAGTTCCGCTTGCGCCGGATCAACGTTGGAACAGCTCGGCCTGGAGCACATCACACGCAGTTGGTTCTTTGATTACCGATGCGCTGGATGTGTTCAGTGCAGCACCTCTTTGATGGGCAAATTGTCCACCACCACTACCATATGTAGGACGGGGGAGAAGGGAAGATGAGGAGGTCCTCCTCTTCCTTCTCCTCCTCCTCCACCTCCTCCTCCTCCTCCTCCTCCTCCTCCTCCTCCTCCTCCTCCTCCTCCTCCTCCTCCTCCCCCCTCTCCTGCTTCTGGTAGTGGTGGTGGAAAATGGGCCCATCACTCTTGACTGGAGCCGAGCATTGATGCAGTCCCGATGCGCTCGACCGATGCTGTCACCAGTGCAGACCGCTGCATGTCTCCAGGGGCCCACGGACATATTCCGCTGGCCTCGACTCGTCCTCTATGGGCGACGTGGAGAATGAGCCGAAGCCAGGTATCGTGCTCAGGGGGGTGACGTGAATGTGGAGCTGGAGTCCGTCGACGTCGATCCCTCTGGGATTGCCGTCTGAGCGCTCCACGAAAGCTTCACTTTCAGGGAGTACGATGTTCTCCAGGACGCTCGGGGGTCTGGTCCCGTGTGGGAGGCGGCATGACACATGGAGCCCGAATCGGGAGACTATGCAGGTTCTAGCAAGCTCGGGGATCTGGACCTGGTGGATGACCCGGTGGGGAGCGAAGGGAATTGTTGACGCTTCGCGAATCCCCACCAGCTAGTACTGGTGACCCGCCTACCGCCTGCCCATTCCACTCGACGGCCCGCCGCTGAGGTGCTGCGTGAGGCTCCGGTCCACCGCTTTAGATAAATTCGTCTGTGCGCGCCCCGCTCTGATTGGACTCGCCGCTGGCGCGCTCGCCTGCGGCCGCTGACAAAAAAAAAATCCCCACCAGCCCATCCAGAAACGATGCCCAGAGGAATTGCCTCGATTAGGGAAGTGGGCAGCATCTTGAGCCATCTTGGAAGTCATTTTGGGCTCTCCCAGGCGCTCTTGGAGTCATCTTACAGTGCCCCCCCCAAGATGCCAACATGTGGCTAAAACCTTCGTAGAATCAATCATTTGGCATTCTCGCCGAGGCCTCTTGGAGCATCTTGGGTGCCTCTGGGGGGCCTCTTGGG